TAGTGGACGCAGTTTATTCTTTTGAGTTGCTCCGTCACTCTTTGTCAATCGTCATCATTATACTTTTTTAACAGGCTTCTTCAAAAATGTTAAAGCGAGCCTATGCAGACTGCTATCGATCAGGCCCTCATGATGAAGGAACCTATATATATGGAACTTTTTACATCTCTTCTCCTAGATTAGACTTTCCAGTGTATCACTCATGCATGTATCTTACCAACTGTGAATTTCACATAATCAGGCCGCCTTTATTGGTTTATTTGTTTTTATTATCAATATATAGTTTGCCTTCTTGGTTTCGTGGCTGCGAGCGCAGTATTTCAAGCCTGGTGTTGTGTTGCTGTTTGGCCTGGAATGCCATCGTCCGAGGTAATTGTTCATTGCTTTAAGACATTTGTCCGAGTAGATGTCCTTGGTAGAGAAATCAACTAATGGAGAGGTGCAGAAGCCAAACTCAAAATATGTTCGATTGGAGTTGGGAGAACTAACGCCACACAACATAAAACAATTGAGAATCATTAATCGCACGGTCTTCCCTGTTCTTTATACAGAGAAATTTTACACGGACCTACTAAAAAGGCCAAAATTCTGCCGTCTAGCCTATTTTAATGATATTGTTGTCGGTGCTGTGTGCTACAGGATCGAGAGTCCGACTGGTAATGACAACTCTACCTCAAAAAAATGTTACATAATGACCCTCGGATGTTTGGCGCCCTATCGTAGGCATGGCATCGGATCTATGCTCTTGAAGCACGTCTTGCACAAATGCAGAAAAAACAATCAAATCAAAAGTGCCTATTTGCATGTTCATATCGAGAACGAAGAAGCTATTAAATTTTATCAGAAGTTTGGATTCGAGGTGACCGGACGCGTCGAATCGTACTACCACAGACTATCGCCACAAGATGCGTTCATTCTTGAAAAGGAAATAGACTATTCGGAACCCGTTAGTTCTTCGGATTCTGAATAAATTATTTTGTATACGGCTCCGTTTTGGTGGTATCCTCATCTATATGGTTTTGCACTTTTTGACGTGGTGGCTTAGCAATAGATAGAACTCTAGCCGATTCGATCAGTGAACTTTGGTCTAGTGTGGACCCTTTTAAAGTCATTGCTGACACCGCCACTAGTCTCATCCCTTTCCTCGTGGATTGGGTGGCCATATTTGAGGTGACCTCTGTACTCACCACTTACGCGTCTCCGATTTCGCCTAGCAGTTGCCCTTCGTTTGCTTATTCTGCCATTTCTATTATAGCTAGAAACAACTCAACCTCGTGATTCCCGTTAGTAAGCGGTTTTAGGATGCCTAAAGTGTCGTAGCTCCACCACCATATATAAGGTGGCACCTTTATTCGCAAGTCCACAGTCGACGGTAAACCTTTGTCCGACGACAGACATTACTTGCTGCAATCACGATTTCTTGGCGATATTTTAAATTGACATGTCCGCGCTAACTCCTGGCTGTAATGTTTGTGCATGGTCTGTGACCGCCTACTCATAAGTTTTTCAATGCTCTTAGTTCACAATTGCCCACCCTACTTTGCCGTCGTACTTTCCGGGAACCGTAGTCAGACTACTTAACTGCATCCTTAATATGCTATTTTCATCAATCGTAAAACTAATCTACCAAACCAGATAGCTAATAACCCGTTTTCTCGACGACACTGTTAACCGTGCATGCAAGAGTGACTTGTAGAAACTTGAAATATTTGACAGTCTGCTTTCCAATACTCAGTATTTGAGCTCATTGGCGGTTGCCTAAAACCCCAATAGGCAGTTGTCATTCCCGATATTTCGATTACATTATGTCAATTTGGCAGCTGTTAGTCTCCGGAGTGATCACCCTTTACGTCAAATTAAACAATGGTAGACTTGCCCATGACAGCTGAAAAGGAGGCTTGGTCTGGAGATCCTCGCTGAGCCGGCTGAACCAGTAAATTATCAAGGCAATGGTAGACATCGATAAAACGCATAGAAAGTGATAAAGTTTTATTGTGGTTTAAAGACGATCCCAAAACGGTAGTTTGTACCTTCTATGACCAATTTTGACCACTACTTCAAACGTAAGGGTAATAAACAAGTTCGTGTCAGATGCACTCTCGGAATGATCTGACTATTAGGACACATGGTATTTCGATTTCGAACTCACTGCCAGAATTGCTGGAGAGGTGGTGAGAAGTCCATGCATCCATGTCACTCGCTAATCAAGCAATCAACCCGATCAACTCTTGAATATGAGCATGCCCATTCGTTTACCTTAACACCTTAAGAAGGAATAGTCGTAGTAGTTAGTTAAAATGTATTGTGGTAAGTTGGTGCAAAGGAAGTACGATAAGGATCCTAAGGTAAGCCTTGCTAGCTTGGGATTTAATGAAATGAGGCATCCTCGCCATACGCATCGAACGTCCTACTGACTAACAAACACTTTGCCAACCTTTCGAAGTTATCCAGGAATTGGGGCGCAGAATTTTCTTCCCAAAAACTAGGTAAGGTGCCCCGTCGATGACCTTGCTAACCCTACGACGGCTTTGCCACCCTCGCCATTATCAGGCCTCTTACTAACTATTTACATCATAGTCAGAAGACTCACTGGTCGTGATTTGCACTTGAGAAATCAACAGATGTAGACGTTTACTATTTCTGTTTAAAAAATGGCGTGGCCCATGACGCGTGGTACGTTTTAAGACGTTACAGCGCGTTGCTAGGGCCAGATTTCAGCATCCCAAAGAAACGAAGATACCGTTTCAGCCCTTCATGTCCGGCGTGAATCTCGTCGTCTGATCAACTTATGTTAAGAAGGTTCCAATCGTTTTGAGTGTCTCAACGATCTAATCCTTCAGCTTAGTAGTTCGTAAATTCTTTTTCCCTAGATTATTGACTCGGATATTGATAAGACCGTGTCTGTTTGCCTGTAGCCAATGATATGTCACTGTCATTAATATAAAAAGTTGTTTTCTACCTCAGTGGAACTTCTTATTTTCTCCTTATGAGCTCAAGACTTGTTATAAAAGTGATGAGATCGCGACTACTAGCCTGCGCTCAGGCCCCCAGCATTCGCGTCGTATCGGACTTAATCATATCTCCTCACCTCCTTACGCCAACTCGAACAGGAATGGGGACATTAATAGCTACTCAATCCTCTCTGAAAACTCGACTGTTTGGCGGTCAGTGATCATTCTGCATTAGATACCGGCATTCTACGATCTTTCTGAGTTGCGCGCTGTTGCAAAACGACCGAAGGGCAATTCCGTGCATACAGTATTTTTAGCGCAGTCATTTAATATCAAATAGGTTAAAATTGCCTGAGAATAATTTCGAATTTTTAAACCAAACAGAATGTTTAGGAAATTCTGGAAACAAGACAAGAAATGCGCCATTCGACATGAGCTGGACAGTTGGAATTCACCTCGGCGAAGCTTAAATGGTGGGGCTCCTCCTTTGTGTTCCGAGATTTCATCCGAGACTTACGCAAACCTTACACTAGAAAAGAAAATCGTTGAAAGTTTTTAAACCTTCCCAGGATTCAACATGCCTACATTGCATAGAATGGCCAATTTTTTTAGGTATTAATACATGTCACAATCCAAAAGTTAGATAAACAACTTACAAGGATACACGTTTGTAGCGCCTGCCCTCGATGACAATGATGCGAGTGATATTGGATATGTCGATTGTAGAAGCATTGTGTTCGCCGATGCCCACCTCCACACTATCTCGATCCACAAGATGAATTCGGGCGCCGTTGTAGTTGATGTAATTTGAACCTTTAGAGATTAAACAAGTTCAGTGCCGTAAGATTTTGTAGAGGAAATCACCTCAGACCTGTATGAGTATTCAAATGATAGTCTGATAATCGAGGCAATGCAGGAATTGTCTCGAACTATCGAAGCTGCTGGTCCATAAAGTAGAATTTTCCGTTATCTTAGCTGATATCTGTTCGTCGCGTCCATAGGCAACGAACAGTTAAACAGACTTTAGCTAATGTTAGCTGCGGGAAAGGACTCTCGGGTCTGATGAATACTCAGTCGCTGATTAACAGCGAGATAGCGGAGGTCAGGCATACTGAGAGCCTTATAAAAGGCCGCAAAGCCAGATATGACATGGCGACCGCGAATCGCTATTAAATAAGTTTACTTGCCACCACTGCCTCGTAGTTAGGCTATTGAACCTCCAGCGCTAGAGAAAACAACCTCGAACAAATACTTCGAACAGCAGTTCACGACATGTCTGTACTCACAAGCCCCGCAAATCTCATGAACATATTTTCGATTGCAGCATTCCAAAAAATGCTACACTGTCCACGAAACAAATGACCTCTATAAATTTGGTCCAGTGGGGCGAGCAGATAGTATGTTAGCTGGCCTACGCAACCGGAAATATATCCTTAGTATTGAATTCTAGAATGGGCGACCGTTTCTGGACCCTGCTGCCCAAAGACGGTCGGCGCACCGCGTTTATTAGTGCAATTTGGATATCCGTTTTCTGTCTGCAGTTCAAATTCCTGACTCGGGTTCTCAGACAATAAAGATCCCTGGAACCAATCACGCCTTACCGAGTATCACAGGGGTCTGTGCGACTCTTCTGATAGACACGGTGCGGCGATCGCCATTTCGCAACAAGTGAACGATGCACTACTTGCTTGGGGACAAGAAAATGGCCGATGGTTTACGTGCAACTAAGCGGTAATTGCACAAACACCCTATTATCTCCCTGTACGCACTATTTTATCCTGCTTGCGAAAGGAATAACGGCTTTATTTTAGACAACTCAGAAGAGGTAGAATGCTGGCGTAAGTATTTCGGTACCCAACCCATCATGGCCTCGTTGTCTAACCTATGCAGTGTCATGGAAGCCTCATTCTGAAGGAGAAATCGCCGATGTAATACGCAGATCTGACGCAACAACAACGACGCACCCAGAGATTGCAACGTAATTGTTGAAATCTAGCACCCTGGCTACATTAGGCGATTTAGCATACATGGATTGCGCGTGTTTCAAATCTGACCACCATTTTCGGCCTCCGAGGAAATTAGAT